AAAAAAAAAAAAAAAAAAAAAAAAGAGCTGCTATATATATTTGATTTGTAATTACTTGCCAAGCAAATACCGATGTTTTCCAAAATTATTTAATCTTCATAAAACGCAAATATGTATTAATCTCATTTTAATATAAGAGGAGATTAAGCTTCATGTGTTAGGAATTTGAAATCATGTTGAGCTGGCCCAGAAGAGCACTCTCTGTCCAACGTGCTCCACATGCTTATTTTGTGTCTTAAAAGTAAGGCAGTACAGGCCGGGCGTGGTAGCTCATGCCTGTAATCCCAGCACTTTGGGAGGCTGAGGTGGGCGGATCACTTGAGGTCAGGAATTTGAGACCAGCCTGGCCAACATGGTAAAACCCCGTCTCTATGAAAAATACAAAAATTAGCCGGATGTGGTGGTGCATGCCTGTAATCCCAGTGACTTGGGAGGCTGAGGCAGGAGAATCGCTCGAATTCGGGAGGTGGAGGTTGCAGTGAGCCGAGATCACAGGACTGCACTCCAACCTGGGTGACAGAGCGAAACTCTATCTCCCCACCAAAAATAGTAAGGCACTACATCAGACTTAGGAAGTGAGAAGTATGGGAGTTTGCAAAATCTCTTTTTTTTTTTTAAAGATGGGGTTTCACCATGATGGCCAGGCTGGTCTTGAACTCCTAACCTCAGGTGATCCGCCCACCTTGGCCTCCCAAAGTGCTAGGATTACAGGCGAGAGCCACCGCGCCAGGCCGCAAAACCTCTTAACACAGATCAACAAGGTGAGATTGAAGCTGGGTGTTGGTCAGTCAGAGGATAGGACAGACAAATCTTACTTTTTCCTGGGCTTCCCAGAGTTGTAGGAGTAGCTTACTGAGCAATCCCTGTTCTCATACCTTGATTGTATTTCTTAGGCTTCTCCAGTTTGACATCAGAAGTTGAAACACTTGGTTCCATTTGTTCCATGTTTGGTTCATCTTTAACTGGCACCAATGTCAAAATCACACTTTCTTCATCATCTTCCCCCTCAAAGAAATTCTGGAAAGAGAAGAGTCAGTCACTGATTCTCATTTGACGCTGTACAACTAAACTGCTTGCTTTCAAGGCACAACTAATGAATAAGGAACTTAGAATACAATAGGTAGATGGAGAAAAGAATTACTGAGACTCCTTGAATGTGATGTTGATTAGCAGACCCTTCATTAAATAAGGGAAACATGGAAAAAATGGGCAAAGGCAATTCACATGTAGGTGTTAATGAAAGAGAAAATAAAACGGTAGGGCTTGGGTTTAGAGACCTATTTCCCTCCAAACCTTCCTCTTCTTCAGCCAAAACACAAAATACTTTCATTGTGCCTCCTCAATCTATATGGAACGTGTTCCTGCCTTTCCACCTTCTATCACGTGATTCCCAAGATTCCCAATTCCCATATCAAATTTCACAGCACAAGCAATAACCTCCTTTTATCCCCAAATCCATTCTAACTCTGCTATTTCTGCACCGATTGTTCCATGCTTGTTGAAAATTCTTCAGTGGCTTGTCATTGTTATTCTGGTTAATGACAAAACTAAAATTAGCTCACAGAGCTGTGTAGCTTACAAATTCTCCCACAGCCTGGTCAAAACCTCTGAGCTGTCTGAGCTCCAGCCACACTGGGCTCATTTCAGCTCCAACACCTGAGGGGAGGGCATCTGTTTTACTCTCTGTTGCTTTCACAGAAACACAGCACCCAGCACACAGTAGGCATTCAATGTTGTTTTTATGATGTGATGAATGAAAGATAAGGTAGGAAAGCAGGTAGGTAGAAAGAAACTAACATTTACTGGTTCTGTACATTACACAGGCACTATGTTAGATGCTTTCCGTATTTCTCAAAGCCAATTCTCACAGTATACTTGCAGTAATTTATTAATTTTCCTGTTTTACAAATGAGGAAACTAAATGAGCAGTGCCATAAAGTAACACAGGCTTGAGTGTGGTTCTGAGTTAGCTTTTCCTCTCAAATTCAAGGGTGAATAAACTCCAGTCCTATTCCAATATTCTCTTCCAGTGCTGATGCCACACCCCTCCACGTCTTCTATGTAATCTCTTCAATGGGTTCCCATTGACTCTTACTCTCAGTTTACTTCAGAATAACACTGACATTATCTAGGGAATATTATTCTCTTAGGGAGAAAAGTAGGGGCTCAAAGCAGCTATGTGACTTCCCCATAATCATATAGCTAATGTTGACCAGTTCGGCCCTTTAGCCACACGACTGGTACAGTGGCACGTGTAAGTGCACTATGATACCTTCTCTGTTTAGTTTCTCAGGGGGCCAGGACCACCCCAGCCTAATCCGGAAACTCATTTGGTACCAAGGCCACTGGGAGCAGAGATTTCCTACTCCTAGAGAAAGTAACTCATTGGTCACTTTATGACTTTATCCACATTACTCTTTTCACTTTCTTTTTACCTTAGCTTTAAAATATATATATTTTTTATTTTTTCCCTATTACTATTGTTCTCCATTCCATTTTTAAATTTTTTATTTGTTTATGTATTTTTACCATTTTTATCTTGTCCAGCTAGAGCACTTCTTGTCTTTCCTACCGAAAGAAATATTTTCCTTTGGACTAGGAGGAGACATTTCTCCTTTGTTTGACTCTGATCCAAATGCACATGAAAGCACAATCACATGAAAGAAAACTAACAATCCATTTGCAAAGAGGAGGAGGTTTCAAGATGGAGGTTTCCGGAAATGGAGATTTGTGGCAAAAAGGAAACATAAGTGAGACCTAGAAAGACTCTGAAAAGTGACTGTGTGAGAAAAGTAATTCTATTAGAACCAAACTTACCTTCTTACTGTTATCCAAATTTGAGTCTGACATTTTCAGCAACACCCTGGGGAAGGCAAGGACAGCAATGTTAAACATATGTTAGTTTACTTCTCTTAACCTGATTTCTCCTTTTATAAGCAAATGTCTCCTACTTCCTGTTACCCAGATGAGCTCTGTTTTGCTTTTTTTCTCCTCTTTTTCCCCTCCCTCGTTTTCTGACAGTGAGATAATTTTATCAATTTAATACCCTGTCTTGTCCATTCGATGATACTTTTTTTAAAAATTAGGCCGGGCGCGATGGCTCATGCCTATAATCCCAGCACTTTGGGAGGCCCGGGTGGGCAGATGCTTGAGTCCAGGAGTTCGAGATCAGCCTGGGAAACATGGCGAGACCCCAGTCTCCACCAAAATATACAAAAATTAGGCAGGCGCTGTGGCGTGAGCCTGTAATCCCTCCTACTCGGGAAGAGGGAGGGGAATTGCCTGAGCCCAGGACGCGCAGGCTGCAGCGATCCGAGTTCGCGCCACTGCGCTCCAGCCTCGCGAGAGTGTCTCAAAAAATGAAAGAAGGAAGAAAAACAAAATGGGTGAAACTTGAAAGAAAACTGAAAATGACAAACACCTGTTGACAAGTTCCAATGGAATGAACAGAATATTTTAGAACAGTTATAGGGTAATATTGGCAATAAATTACTTACTATGAAGGGAATGGAAAAAAAGATTCAGAGCATTTTCGGCAGGTATTTGATACCTGATTTATGCATATGGGTATGTTACTCACTGAAAGACCCCAGGTTTAAACTGTGGGAGTCGGATAATCTCTCTTCGATCTAGTTTTAAATACAAATATTAAGGCTGTAATAATATTGAGCTGATGAGAGAAGGATTTGGCTGTTGAGAACTGCAAGAAGAGCCAAAACACCAAGTCAAGAGGTGAAGTAACGATGGCAGAAGGACCTGATGCACTTGGGAACTGCTGGAGCCTAATGTTGGATGCAGAATGCGGTAAAATATGAAGCGAGCGTTCTCATAGGTCACTCTAAGAAGCCAGAGCAACTAAAGACAATTTCGTTCGCAAATAATATGACAGCACTGACAACTAAGTGCCTTTACAACGGGCTTTCTCTGTCCCTGGGTAAATGATTTGGTCCATTAATCTCAGGACCCTGGGCGACCATGGTCCCTTTTAAATTAGTAGTATGACACATTCAAAGTGTAGTCTGGACCTGGCGCGGTGGCTCACGCCTGTAATCCCAGCACTTTGGGAGGCTAAGGAGGGAGGATCGCTTGAGTCCAGAAGTTTGAGACCAACCTGGGCAACATAGTGAAACCTCGTGTCTATTAAAAAAAAAAAAGTAGCCGGGCGCGGTGGCTCACGCCTGTAATTCTAGCACTTTGGGAGGCCGAGGTGGGTGGATCACCTGAGATCAGGAGTTCAAGACCAGCCGGGCCATCACGGTGAAACCCCATCTTAAAAAAAAAAAAAAGAAAAGAAAAAAGTCAATAATTTTTAAAAAGAAAAAAAGTGTAGTCTGAAAAGGCTCAGCTTCAGTTTATTGAGGTACCGATTGGAAAAATAAATTATGAGCCCCCCACGCCCCAACCCCAGACATCCTGAATCAGCTCCTAGACGGTGGGCTTAGCGGTTGAGGAATCTGTGCTTCCTCCAGGTAATTTTTTATTCTTTTATTTCTCAGACAGGCTGTGTCACCGGGGCTGGTGTGCGGTGACGGCGCGATCATACCGCAGCCTCGACCTCCTGGGCTCAAGTGATCTTCCCATCTCAGCCCAAGCCGCCCCACCCCCGCCCCTCCCCTCCCCTCCCCTCCCC